AGGTGGTTGTCCCTTCAACAGACCAGGGGCATGTTCATGGAGCCCAGAAGTACAGCAGTATTGGTGTGGATGCTGCTCGGAAATTGCTGAGATCGGCCACTGTCCCTTGATCAAATTGTGGAGGTGTGACCTAAGGTTTGTGAACATGCTTGGCAACTGCACCCCCCCTTCCCCCCTCCCACATTGATTGCAGTAAGGATGGAGTGACCTTTAGCTCTCAGACTGTGCTGCGGATTGTTGACCTCACACCGCTGAATGGGTCTATGTTTGAGGGCTTTTTGGAGGTGTCCAAGGACTTGAATGTGCCCTGCCAATACTGCCCCATCTTCATGGATGAGCCGCGCGAGGAATGGTTCAATCTGCACTTCCAAAATGAAATGGCCTCCATGTTTCAATCGGGGGACTTGGTGGTGCCCAATGTGGAGCGGTGACTTGCCAACATTCTAGGTGCTCATTGCCTTGACCTGGTAAATTGATGTGGTGCCAAGTTGTAGAATCACTGGCTGCAGGTTGGCTGAGAACCCCCCTGCAGAACACATGGAAGAGAAGCCGGAGCCACCGCCTTTGAAGAGATGTGTGTATGGAAAGGCCCTGCTTGGAAAAGTGCAATGTGTTCCAATTGTGGCTTGTGTGGGGAGTTGGTTGGTGCTTGCTGAGTTGGAGATTTCCTTGAAACAGGTTGAGGGGGATGTGGTGACCCTGGAGATCCCTGACCCCATCATCCAGAAGTTCTCCCAACGGCAAGAGTTCAAGACCCTACTGGACCAATTCCTGGAACGGCACCCTCCCTTGCAGAAAGTCAAGGATGAAAAGAACAAGAAGCGACCAACAACTGCTGCTGGCCTTGGGCCAGCTGCAACCCCCAAGCGGCAGCGCCTGGATGACCAAATCATCCAGCGGCTTCTGAAGCATGAGGATGACTGCCCAGCTGGGCCGTTCCTGGCAGAGGTTCCCATGGTGAATGCCCGTGTGACGGGGGGTTTGGGGACTGAACAGGCTACTCTTGTTGTCACCAACTCACTGGCCTTTGTGCGAAACAAGACTGGTGGCAAGGTACCTTGACTGAAGTGTGACTGAAGGGTGATCAAGGGGGTGGAAGCAAGCTGCTTTGGGATGAATTTGAAAAGGGTATAAGTGGTCATTGTGGGTTGCCAAGGGGCCTTGCCATTTCACTACCCCGTTGAAAGCAAACCAACATCAGTATGCAAATGAAAATCAAACCACCCCTACAACTAACACCACCAACAATACATACTGGCACACAGCATTCACATGAACATGAATGTCAGCATGAATGTCAATGACAACAAGGAGCATCAGCAGCAACAACAGCAGTAAGACAGGACCGGTGACAATGATGAAAAACACAACAACAACAAAACAACAATGACAACGACAATGAAAACATGACAACGACAACGACAACGACAACGACAATGACGACAATAACAACAACAACAACAACAACCACAACCACAACCACAAGAACAACAACAACAACAACAACAACAACAACAACAACAACAACAACAACAACAACAACAACAACAACAACAACAACATAACAACAACAACAACAACAACATAACAACAACAACAACAACAACAACAACAACAACAACAACAACAACAACAACAACAACAACAACAACAACAACAACAACAACAACAACAACAACAACAACAACAACAACCAACAACCACATCAACAACAACAACAACAACAACAACAACAACAACAACAACAACAACAACAACAACAACAACAACAACAACAACAACAACAACAACAACAACAACAACAACAACAACAACAACAACACAACAACAACACAACAACAACACAACAACAACACAACAACAACAAAACAAACAACAACAACAACAACAACAACAACAACAACAACAACAACAACAACAACAACAACAACAACAACAACAACAACAACAACAACAACAACAACAACAACAACAACAACAACAACAACAACAACAACCACAACAACAACAAACAACAACAACAACAACAACAACAACAACAACAACAACAACAACAACAACAACAACAACAACAACAACAACAACAACAACAACAACAACAACAACAACAACAACCACAACAACAACAACAACAACAACAACAACAACAACAACAACAACAACAACAACAACAACAACAACAACAACAACAACAACAACAACAACAACAACAACAACAACAACAACAACAACCAACAACGATGAAGACAACAACAACACAACAATGACACGGCGATGACATGACAACAACAACAACAACAACAACAACAACAACAACAACAACAACAACAACAACAACAACAACAACAACAACAACAACAACAACAACAACAACAGTAACAGCAACAGCAACAGCAACAGCAACAGCAACAGCATCAACAGCAACAGCAACAGCAACAGCAACAGCAGCAAGCAACAACAGCAGCAGCAGCAACAACAACAACTGAAAGCATTTGACACGCCAAGAACAACATGAACAACAATATGTGTTCCCCTGATTTGCCATTCCCTACTTTCATCCTTCAGGTAGCCCACCCCACTATGAGAATGTCTTCCCTGCAAAACTGCCTGCCATCATCTAAGGTGTCTTTGAACTTTGGCATGGTGGTGGCTGGCTGGGGGAAAGGGAAGTTCCGGGAGCGAACTGTGGACAACCCTCGACAGAGTGGTGAGTTGGAGTTCTTGGTGCGGGCTGATGACTTGTTACTGGTGGATGGGAAGGTGGACAATGCATCATCTATATTGTCCCAGAACAAGGCCAAAAAGCTTGAAGCCTGCAAGATCTCCTACCATGCTTGCAAACAGAACCCGGACACCACATGGGAGATTAAGCAGGACAGGGCTAAGGTCAACACTTCCCCAATGAACATGTTCTCTCTTGTTGACCCTGTCAGGAAGGTGGTGTGATTTTCACCCCCCTGGAAGAAGATGCGAAGAGCCTGACACAATCCCAAGTGGCAAAGCTGACCAGTGGTACTGAGGTTTGGACCAGTGCTTTGACTTCGACTGTGTGGCATTGCAAGTGGTCATTGAATGGCCTACAGCCTATCCGTCCTGTGGTGATGCTTCTTGAAGATGTAGAGCTGGAAAATGGCAAGATATTGCTTTTCCAAAGCTAAGGAGCCTCTTGCTGGGATGGGGTTGCAACATGCCAGGGAAGCAAAGAAAAGGTCCAAGTGGGGATCCTGAATTCAGCTCCTATCAGGGTGTAACACATGTCTACCCTTGTTACAATTGCTTGAGCTAAGCAATAGGCCCTTTCTCAGTAAGTGCTCCTGGCCGAACAGTGCACAGTGCAAAGCACTGAAGTTTTGCGAGCCTAGCGGATGTGGAATGGTGATTGGTGGTGAAAAGCATGGCCCTTGAGCTTTGTGCATTGAGTGTCTGAACCGGTCTGAACCCATTGCAAGTAGAGAATTGAATGATCAATGCTGGATTGCTTAGTGGGTAGCTTAGACCAGTATTGGGGGGGAGAATGGACTGGTTTCTGAAAAGGGATTTGGTTAATGGGGTCTGCGAAGCTGCAAGCACTTTTTGGCACGCGCGAAGCCACAGTGAGGGGTGTGGCCATTCCTAGCCGAGGGGTGCTGTGACTGCTGTGATCTGTCCTGAGTTTTGCTGCTGCTGTTGGCTGTTCTTGGTTGGGGGTTGGGTGCAGTGAGTTGAAGTGAATGCTGGTGATGTGAAATGTGAGATTTGGTGATGCTGGTGCTATGTGAGCTGGTGCTTGAACTGATTCATGCTGTGTGTGCCCCCCCCCTCCATCAGAGCACCCCTCACTCGGACTTGTACCAGAAGCCATGCTTTTTGCTCTCCCACCAAGCCCCTGCTTCGTCCTTCCACCACCTCACCTCCTCTGCTTTGTCCTCCTCCTCGATGGTGACCTCTTCCTCCTCCTCTGAAGGTGAAATCTTCTGCACCTTGGTGGCCTTCTCCTGCTTTGCCTCCTCTATGTGCTTGTCGCGGACCACCCTGGCCAGTGCTTGCCGCAGCCCGCTGAGGGTCGTTTTGGGCTTTGGCATCTCTTTCTTCTGCGGCTTGGGGGTGGCCTTTGTGAAGGGCTGGAGCTGACTGATGTCCTTGCCGGTGCTGCCCATCGCCTGGTCCTTCTCCTTTTCTTTGTCCTTCTCTTTGTCCTTCTCTTTGTCCTTCTCGTTCTCCTTCTTCAATCTGACTTTCTCCTTCGTCGGATTCGTTCCACCTTTGTCATTCTTCTTTCCTTCTTTCGCCTTCTTATCTTTCTCCTTCCTATCTTTCTCCTGCATTTCTTTCTCCTCCTCTTCTTTCTCCTCCATTTCTTTCTTCTTGGCGATTGCCAGCACCTCCACATTCATGGCCTCCTTCAGCTCCTTGCTTGTGGCCCATGTGCCCGTTGGGCACATGATCATCGCCGCGATGGCCTTGGCCGCAAGGCCGCCGCCATGCGGCTCAGGGCCGGAGCTCTGAGCCATCCTAAAAAGGCTGAGGGTGATTGCATTGTTGTCAAGGGGCAGGGGGGTGATAGGAAGGGTTCCTACTACACATGAGCCACGTGTTTGAATGCCCCTTGAAACTGATCCATGTGTTTGAATGCCCCTTTTAGCCACTTCAAACAATTCCAGAAACCAAGCCCCCCCCCCCCCAAACCTTGCCCTTGAAACATCCTGCCAAACAGCAACCTGTTTGCCCCTTCCATGTACAAACCTTTCATCAACCCTCTCCATTTGGTTGAACCCCCCCCCACAACCACCCATTTGTGTACTGGCTGTCAACCAATCCCCTTATCCACAACACTTTGCCCTTCTCCAAATATGTTGGAAAAACAAACCCCTTCAGAAAATACCCTTTCAACATCCATTTTTGTAATAGAATGAACTTAACCCCCTTTCCAACACACCCCTTTCCAACACACCCCTTTCCAAGAATTCTACAAACTGTCATCCCCCTTAAAGCCCTGCGTCTCCCCATCCAACACTGGGCAGGCCTCTTGCTGGAGCCAGCCAGCAGCCAGCCAGCAGCTGCAGCAGCAGCTGCTGTGGCAGGTGCTGTAGGGCTTTGGGGGAATGGGTGGGAAGGAGGATCTGAGGATATAACAAGGTAAGGGGAACATAACAAGGTAACACAGGGGAGCATAACAAGCAGGTTGCAAGAAGGGTGCAAGTTCTTGTGTGTGTGTGTGTTTTTTACTGTATGGTTAAGACCTCAATGGAAACATAGGGAGGTGAATTATTATTTTTAAACCCAATGAGAATGGCAAGGTCCCCACGTATTTCTCACTCACTGGACTGGATTACTTCAATATTTTATGGCTTTGAAGTATGATCCCACATACCCCAAATTGATTTCCAACACCCCAGAATTGCTTGCAAAACCTTAGAAGCCTTCTGGCATCATATTCGGCGGTCCGTTTGATTCCCGCGGCAGACATTGGAAAAAGGCGCGGGAGAAAAACCCGAGTTTCAGCCCAAAAGTCGTTTTGCCGCGCGTTTTACCACCATGGCATCATATTCGGCGGTCCTTTTGATTCTTTCGACAGACGTTGTAGAAAACCGCTGGAAAACGAATTTCGATCCGCGGCTCGAAGTTCTTTTTTTTCGTGCGTTTGGGACCTTGAAAAGCGTTTTTTGGTTGATTCCTGCGGGAGACATTGTAGAAAAGCTTGGAAAAACGAAATACGCGGTCCGAAATTCGGTTTTTTTGGCGTTCTGGCATATATTCGGCGGTCCTTTTAATTCCCGGGGCAGACATTGTGCTAGCGCTCAAAGGGATGCCCAAAAGGATGCAAAACGAAACACCCGCGACTGTAGCTGTCGCCGTGCGCGAGCGATGGCCAATTTCTTCATGAAGCGTAGCTTGTCGCTTGTTGCCGCTTTCCTGCCTCCTTTTCGGTGTCCCGCTGCTCTGCTGCCGATGTTTGCTTGTCCTTTCTCCATTTCCGCTTCAGCTCTTCCTCTTGGCTTGCTTTACTTTGTCTCTACGGAAGCCTACATATGTTTAGACACGCACCAAAAAGTGTGGCTTTACTTGCCTTGCGGAAGTTCGCCGAAGATTCGCGAAAGGGTCATTCTTGGAGCAAGAAATATTGCATAACCCACATCTATCTATTATTTGTCTATCTATCTATCTATCTATCTATCTATCTATCTAATTTATCTAACTATCAATCTGTCTATCCCTCTATCTATCTATGTATCTATCTACCTACCTATCTACCTATCTATCTATCTATCTATCTAGATGTGTGTCTTTCTTTCTATATTTGTCTATATCTATCGGTTTCTATTTATTTGTCGATCTATTTGTCTATTTAGTATAGTCTGGTCCGGTCCAACCCAAGCTATTCTATCTTCTCATATTTATTTATGTCTGCCTTCTTTTCTATCTTTCTATCTTTGTGTTTATCTATCTATCTATCTAAGAAAGTCTGAACTAATCTACTCTCAACTGATCTCATCTATCTGTCTATCTGTCCATCTATCTGTCTATTTGTCTATCTATCTATCTATCTGCCTGCCTGTCTATAGATCGAACCCTTCTTGCCCTTTCTAACCTAATCGTATCTCATCTTGTCTTACCTTGTCTTGTCTTGTCTTATCCGCTGCCAATCCCGGACAGGACTCGCTACAGGCTCCTCCCGTGCCCATGTGACAACACCCTACAGTGGCTGCGGGTGCTCCTGTCACGCTGGGGGGGGGGGGGCGTGACACCAACCACGGTATCTGGGCAGGTGGCAGCGCGAGCATGGCGGATGTCTTCACCAGGGAGCATAGATCTGTAACCTGTCTGTCTATCTATCCATGTCTATCTATCTATCTATCTATCCGTCTATTCAATCTAGTCTTGTCTAGTCTAGTCTAGTCCTATCTATCTATCGATTTATCTGTCTCTGTATCTCTCTATCTCTCTACCTCTCTTTCTCTCTTTCTCTCTATCTCTCTGTATCTACCTATCTATCTACCTACCCATCTATCTATCTATCTATCTATCTATGTATCTATCTATCTATCTGTCTATCTATCTACCTACCTATCTATCTATCTATCTATGAAGGTGTGCTTTGCACTGCCCAGCTGCGGAACGAGAACAAGGTCTTTTCTTGGGCCTGGTCTCATTTTTGGGGTAAGGGCTTGACATCATACCCTGAAAGGGTGGCGGTCCCGCAGGCCGGGTACACCGTGCACACGGTCTTTTCTTCTCCGGACTATTGCGGGCTGTTCTGTGTGGGATCCGACAGAATGCCGGTGAACCGGCCGGCCTGGGACTCTTGGCGATAGTTCTCCATGATGTGGCGCGTTGTTTGGACTGTTCTTCGAGGTTATCAAAGTCGGCAACACGGGGTTGTTTCCCTTTAACCTACCACTTAGTTCACTTTACTTCATGTGCGGGGTTTTAAAACAATTTTTGGGGTGACTTGGATCGGAGCATAAGGAGCATACTAATCAGAGAGAACCCTTGAAAATGATCGATCCAATCCCCCACGTTTACTGGGCACCGCCCAGATTCATCCAAAGTTGACACCAAAGCACCTGCAGGACATGGAGTCCAATCAGCCATCACTTGTAACAGAAATCCCTTTATTAAATCAAGTGCAGTCTGGGGGTAAGGTCGTGATCCCTGGTCGGCTCGGGTGGTGAATGTCTTTCGCAGCGCCGCGTGTCATGTCAATGCGCAGGCGCAGTGTTTTGGAAGGTCGCATGTTTGCATTACCGTGCCATTGTGGTTTGCGCTTCACTCCTGGTTTTTTGGGACAGGCGCGTGATACTGAAATGTGTCAACACTGGTTCCCGCACCGCAGTCTCGAGGCAAGCGCGCTACTTTAGCGCTTGGGTGCAGGTTTCGTGGCAGGCGCCGCGCTTTGAGCAGGTTGAATCGCGCTCGCTCTCGGTGTGGCGCGGCGCGGGGCTTGAGAGCGCAAAGTGCAGCCGCTGCGCTCTTTGGGTGGTCGAATCGTGTTGCGGTGCTTGTTTTGAGAGCGCAAGGTGAGACTAGCTAGAGAGAGAGCGAGAAAGAGAGAGAGAGAGATAGAGAGACAGAGAGAGAGAGGGAGGGAAAGGGAGGGAGGGAGGGAGGGAGAGAGAGAGTGATGAGTGAGTGAGTGAGTGAGTGAGTGAGTGAGTGACTGAGTGACTGAGTGACTGAGTGACTGAGTGACTGAGTGACTGAGTGACTGAGTGAGTGACTGAGTGAGCTGAGTGACTGAGTGAGTGAGTGAGTGAGCGAGTGAGTGAGTGACACTATTGAGTGAGTGAGTTGAGTGAGTGAGTTGGACTGAGGACTGAGTGAGTGAGTGACTGAGTGAGTGAGTGACTGAGTGAGTGAGTGACTGAGTGACTGAGTGACTGAGTGAGTGAGTGACTGAGTGACTGAGTGACTGAGTGAGTGACTGAGTGACTGAGTGACTGAGTGACTGAGTGACTGAGTGGACTGAGACTGACTGATGTGACTGAGTGAGTGACTTGAGTGACTAGTGACTGAGTGATAGTCTGAGTGACCTGAGTGTGACTGACTGACTGAGTGACGGAGTGACGGAGTGACGGAGTGACGGAGTGACTGAGTGACTGAGTGACTGAGTGACTGAGTGACTGAGTGACTGAGTGACTGAGTGACTGAGTGACTGGGTGACTGAGTGGCTGAGTGACTGAGTGAGTGACTGAGTGACTGAGTGACTGAGTAACTGAGTGACTGAGTGACTGAGTAACTGAGTGACTGAGTAACTGAGTGATTGAGTGGCTGAGTGGCTGAGTGACTGAGTGACTGAGTGAGGTGAGGTGAGGTGAGGTGAGGTGAGGTGAGGTGAGGTGAGGTGAGGTGAGGTGAGTGAGGTGAGTGAGGTGAGTGAGGTGAGTGAGGTGAGCGAGGTGAGTGAGGTGAGTGAGGTGAGTGAGGTGAGTGAGGTGAGTCAGGTGAGGTGAGGTGAGGTGAGGTGAGGTGAGGCAAGGTGAGTGAAGTGAGTGAAGTGAAGTGAAGTGAAGTGAAGTGAAGTGAAGTGAAGTGAAGTGAAGTGGAGTGGAGTGGAGTGAGTGAAGTGAGTGAAGTGAGTGAAGTGAGTGAAGTGAGTGAAGTGAGTGAAGTGAGTGAAGTGAGTGAAGTGAGTGAAGTGAGTGAAGTGAGTGAAGTGAGTGAAGTGAGTGAAGTGAGTGAAGTGAGTGAGTCAGTGAGTCAGTGAGTCAGTGAGTCAGTGAGTCAGTGAGTCAGGGAGTCAGTGAGTCAGTGAGTCAGTGAGTCAGTGAGTCAGGGAGTCAGTGAGTCAGTGAGTCAGTGAGTGGGTGAGTGAGTGAGTGAGTGAGTGAGTGGGTGGGTGGGTGGGAGTGAGTGAGTGAGTGAGTGAGTAAGGGAGTGAGTGATTGAGTGACTGAGTGAGTGAGTGAACTCACTCACTCACTCACTCACTCACTCACTCACTCACTCACTCACTTTCACTCTCACTCTCACTCTCACTCTCACTCTCACTCTCACTCTCACTCTCACTCTCACTCTCACTCACTCACACTCACACTCACACTCACTCACACTCACTCACACTCACTCACACTCACTCACACTCACTCACACTCACTCACACTCACTCACACTCACTCACAGTCACTCACAGTCACTCACAGTCACTCACACTCACTGACTCACTGACTCACTGACTCACTGACTCACTGACTTACTGACTCACTGACTCACTGACTCACTGACTCACTGACTCACTGACTCACTGGCTCACTGACGCACTCACTCACTCACTCACTCGCTCGCTCGCTCACTCACTCACTCACTCACCCACTCACTCACTCACTCACTCACTCACTCACTCACTCACTCACTCACTCACTCTGAATCACTCTCAACCACTCTCAATCACTCTCAATCACTCTCAATCACTCTCAATCACTCTCAATCACTCTCACTCCCTTGCTCCCTCGCTCACTCACTCACTCACTCACTCACTCACTCACTCACTCACTCACTCACTCACTCACCCACTGACTCTCAATCACTCTCAATCACTCTCACTCACTCTCACTCGCTCACTCACTCGCTCACTCACTCGCTCGCTCACTCACTCACTCACTCACTCACTCACTCACTCACTCACTCAGAGTGAGTGAGTGAGAGTGAGTGAGAGTGAGTGAGAGCGAGTGAGGTGAGGTGAGGTGAGTTGAGTTGAGGCGAGGTGAGGTGAGGTGATGAGGTGAGGTAATGAGGTGAGGTGAGGTGGGGTGAGGTGAGGTGAGGTGAGGTGAGGTGAGATGAGGTGAGTTTGTGAGGGAGGGGGCGCGTGAGTGAGTGAGTGCCAGCTGCAGGCGGGACATTGGAGGTGACCCCCTTGGCCTCTGGAGTGTCACAGAAACGGTTACTGACTGTTCTGCTCATCGCGGTTGGAAGCAAGTAGTAGGAACCCGCAGACTCGGGGTATGTGAACACTTCTATTCCGATGGGGGCCCGGCAGGAAAACTGACCCTGCCTTTGGTTCGGTTCATTGCACTGCCTGCCCCCAAGTTTTGGAATATGTTTGCTACTTACTCAACAAGGTTCGCGTGACTTGCTCAACTGGCTGCAGTGAGACTTAGCCAGCTTGCTGGCTAGTTCGCTCGTTGAGTGCGCAGTTCGTCACGAGGTGCCTGGCGGCTACCGTAAGAGGGGTCGAAATGCTGCGGCTAGCGAATGCAAAGTCCAACTGCGGTGTTGCAGGCGCAGAGACCGTCAGGTTGGTTGCTTGCTTGTGTGCTTGCTTGCTTGGTTGGTTGTTTGAGGTCTGACGTTACTTAGTTGCTTAGTCAGCTAGTTAGTCAATTAGTTTTTTTAGTTAGCCCTGAGAACGGCAGAAGTGTTTGAGGTGTTTGATGGTTCGCCGGTGGACTCACCATTGATTTGATGGCTGCGAAAGCTGGAAAAGACAAGCAGCTTAGAGTTTTTGATGCTTGCAAAGTGCAAAACGCCAAACGCCACGAGTTGTTGAAACAAAACGCACAAGATTCAGCATTTGATGAAACAGAGAGCGTGCCCTGCCGTGCCAATCGGCCCGCGTTTGGTTCTGAAACCAGCTTCTGTCAGGCGTTTCAAAACAGGTGGTTTTGGCGATTGCAAAGAGACAGGTTTTGCGCCCGCGTCTATTTCCCCCCTCTCGCGCTCTGTTTTCCTAGCTTTTTTAAATGAACAACTCATGCAGTTCTGAGAGAATGCGAAGCTCAATACGCGCCAGTGCAGATTTGTTTGGTCAAACTTCCTCTGATTATCCATCCCCTCGTCCCCATAGTTGTTCATGTCGCCTAGAGGACTTTGTGTTTCTTTGGGGCCAATTTTCTATTGTTCACAGTGGAAATCGGACCCTACCAGCCAGAGGAGTCCCCACAATACTTCATTTCCTCAAACTCAAACGAGGAACCAATCCCTCACGTGCAAACTTGTGCCCATGGGAAGTCCTCGCAAGGACTCCTTGCAGATGTTCACCTTTCCTGGAGAGAACAACCATGGGGCCATCCTGCCCTTTGGATAGGACGTGCCGGCCAGGTGGCTTTCTTTGAAATGCCAGCGGAAAAATGGGCTCGAGATCAAGGCCTTTAGGGGGACCAGTTTCCGGAATCGGGTTGATGTCGTGAAACGTTAAATACTCGGCTCCTCATTCGCATTGAATTGGCTGTCGGCTTCGAAAATCATCACGAGCCTGGGCACTGAGATGGTGGAAGCCTTTCAACTGGCGAAATATCTATTCTGAGCATGGCGCCTAGGCGTTGCCTCCAAGCAAGTAGTTCATTTTCCGCCCTTGGGGTGCTTTCTGTTTGTGGGAAGGGTCCCATGAAACCCACCAGAGAATGGTCCAAACTGGGACCCAACCAGTAAAAAATCCGTCTATGCTTGGGATACGTCCGTATGGATATTGATATGTATGGATATGTATGAATATGTATGAATATGTATGGATATGTATGGATATGTATGGATACGTATGGGGAACCTCTTCAATAGTGGTTGGCTAACCTAGATGATGCAAAAGAGTTCCCAATAAAAACATAATCCAGGACCCTCCAGACATGGGACATCTTTATGCAGCCCGTACGCGTATTCCCAAATGGCCAAAGGCACCAAGTCATTCTTGTGTGTGAATCTTCAGTGAGTGCGGCATAGTAAGTAGCCAGGGGAACCATCAGGTGAAACCTGGTCAAACCTCCTGACCCACTCTAACAGTACCTTTGTTCAAACTTAAGGTGGTTTCTCCTCAGAGAAGGAAAGCAGAGAACGGAACTGAAATCAAGCTTTGAAACTATCCGCCAGGGGAAGCGGAAGCATGGTGTCCAACCCATCATGTCATTTTGTGTTGGTTAACTGAAAGCGGCGAACGCGTGCAAACCCACGCTGCACGTCCCAGGCTGGCCTCGCTGACGGAGAAGGACGCCGATGAGGGGCCCAAGCTCACCCCCCTGGTGATGGACCCAACCACGGCACGAGCAACCGCGAGAGCGCTAACCGATGCGACCTGCAGCGGCTCGTCCAGATCTCAATTGGACTTCTTCCTCGGTTTGGGTCGGGGATGCCCATTTTAGTGTTAAGCAAGAAAGATAGACTTTTCTCACTTTTGTCGGTCAGTCCAATCAGCAAGTGAGAGATTGGTGAAAGGAGGACACCCTGTGAGTTGCTTCATTTGTTGTGTTTGTTGGGGTTTCCCTCTTAAATTACCAAAAAGGATGCCATGTGTCTATGGCCACGGGGGTCTGGGGGTTTAAACTAAATCACGGGAACCAGCAGGGGCTGTCTTTTGGTTGCTTGCCCGCTTCCAGGCCAGCCACTGCGGTGGCAGGTAGGCAGGGGAAACCATCATGTTAAACCTCGGCGTAACAAGAAGTGGGGCCGGTAAGCAAAACGGTCAGCCTGGTAATTGCTTCCACAGAAAGCTCAACCTAGAAGCAAACTTTAACAAGGACTTTTTTGTCCAGACGTGCCGGCCCCATTCCAAACACGGGCTCGCAGGTCTTGCAGAGATCTGTTTTGATATTCTGTACAAGCAGCGTTTTGCAAAGGCATTGGAATGACAATACCACTATTTGCAAGACCATCTCAAACGGCCCCCTTCGGCTGGGTTCCGATTCAGGCCGCCCGAGGCCGTCCACGGCCATGCCGTCCACGGCCATGCCGTCCACGGCCATGCCGACCGCGGCCATGCCTTCGACCACGGCCGCGCCGGGAGGAATTGCAGGCCGAGTTGAAAGCTTCGAACGGCCCATGAGTCAAAATTGGGGATTCCAAAGAAGCTTAAGGGAACCCCTCAACAGTTGCACACCCAAATGGATCCTTCACCGGGCGCTTTTGTTCGGCCCATAGGTGACTCACGGGTTCCCAGAACTTTTCGAATCCGTAAAAAATCCAGGATCGGGACCTCTAGACAGCTGCTATTGGCTGTGATTGTCTTTCGCCCTTGGGCCCGCGTTCAACATGTTTTGCGCTTTTGGAGATACACATATGGGTAGGTGAAACGCCATAGCAGACAGGAGACTATGAATGGATGTTTCAGTAAATGGGGAAGACGCATTTGGATAGGTGGGAGTCGATTCGGGCTCAGCCATAGAAATCTTCGCCCCTCCCTTGCCCCTTTGACCCACTGCCGCATTTCAATCCGAAAAGGTACAAGAGGAACATTGTTTTCATAGAGGCTTTATGAACTCGAATCTTTGTCAAGTGTTTGGGTAACGATTCAAAGTGCACCGCAAACAACACCTTTTTCAGATCCTTTTCAAAGTGAATCTGACTGACTTGCTTCAGGGTGAGTGTTTCCGGACACAAGCCCAGCGATTCCGTTTACCACCACAAACCTTGAACAATGCAAGGACCATGTATGTTACCTGTTAGGGTGGCGGGGCTGATCCGTTGAGGAAAAACATAGATACAACTATCTTGAAACCCAGTTCGGGGGGAACGCAGGATACAGCGTCCTGTTGAAATCCCCTGTTGATCAACACCCTTCTGACTTTGCAACGGTTTAGATGCATTGAACCACAAAAGCATAATCTATTGAAGACCAGAGATTTGGATACCGCTTCAGATCAGTGTTGTTTTGTCCAGCTTTCTCATGACCTGTCATGTTTCTTTGGCACATCCCGATTGTTGCCTGGCAGGTTGGGTCTTGTTTTTGGTCTTTGCGGCCGAATCATGTAGACCTAAGGATGCCCACAGCTCCCATGTGATGCAGGGAAACTCAGCCGGCTCGACGGGTTTACGTGGACTTTTTTTTGCGGGCCAAGCAGAATTCCAAGCCCACCCTCCCGCCTTTTTTTTTCCAAGCCTCATGCCCATGGATGTTTTTGTTTGTTTTTGTGGGGCCCTTGCTGAATTCTCTCCGGCAATTGTCACACAGAGGTGGGGGTTTGCATAGAGACTTAAGAGTCCCTTGGCCCCTTGGACACCCAGGTTTCTTCAGCAAGATGTTCAGCCTCCAACAGCTGGAGCAGCTGCAGCAGAGGACCGGACGGACCAGACGGACTGTAGGATGGGAGGGTTTTCTGTTTGAGAGGGATCGACGGTTGGGGATCCTCTTGGGTTTTCTTTGGGGGATCCTTTCGGGTTAGGTTGCCTGTTTGGGGGTAGGGGGGGGGGGTGTCCTTTGGTTCTTCTAAGGGTGTAGGTGTTCTGGACTTTCCTCTTGGGCTTGGCTGCCTCTAAACTTCTCATCGCTTCACCCATCCCAAGCCGAGTTGCTCACCTCAAGCATTGGATATATACGGAGTCCCCTTCATTTTTCTTTCGGAAGATTTGCCTGGAAGGATCAAGCTGGAACGTTCCAGCAGGCTGTGTCAAAACATCGGAACCCCCAACATGGCCTGCTCCCACCAAAAAACAACCCCATAGCGATTGACTAGCCTCAACCTGGGTGGCTTCCATTTGGCTTCCTCTTGTCAATGGGTCCGCAGCTTTTTGCTGTGCAGCTTGATGCTCAAGAGCGGCTCCGGGACATGAATCCACTCAAAACGGCTCTAAAGGCCCGCTCAAGCCTTGTGGTGATGCTAGAATTGGTTCCACGTGCTGAATGTTCTTCGCGAAGCCCCTTTAGCCGATTCCCCATCGCCTTCGTTGGACTTCGCCTCCGCGCTTGTCCTTGTCGTAGAGCTCGATGTAGCCGTCATCCTGCGAAGTCAGTTAGTACTTCCGTTCAAGCCAGGGCACCTCATCCTTGAGTACCACCCATCTTCTTCCACATTGATCACGGAGTTCTTCAACTCCTTGATCCACCGAGAGCCTTTTCGCACTCCTCTCTACGCAGCCCACGGTTTGCTTTGCAGCCCACAAGGCTCCGATCATGATGAGGACGACGCCCGTCACCATCTCCTACACCGACAAAGCGTCCCCCTGCGCGCTCGCCTTGCTGATCAGGTCCGCTCAGATTACCAAGCAGCTTCATCGTGCCCACCCGCAATGACCTGCTCCGTGTCCAACACCCGCCGCCTTCTGCACAAAGGCCATCTTCTGCATCACCTTCATCGGCATGCCGAGGTCCTCTTTGCGCTCGAAGGCCTGGGCCGTTCAACGCTTTTGTGCCGTCCACCAGCTGCTTGCCAGCCATATGGGTAAGTGACCACCTTCCTCGAGGGCCCAACGAAGTGATGCCGCCCGGATCCTCACAACTTTCTCCAGCCATTTGAGGCCAAAAAGCGATGGCGGCCCCATTGTCTCCCCCCACCAATGACCCGCAATCGCCTCAGCTCTGCTTCTTGCTTAGTCGTCTCCCAGGCAATTGGCGCGCCCGCAAAGTGGGCTCAGATGATCCCCCAGCCAGGAGTGAAGAAGAAAAACGCGATTGGATGAAACATGTTGCCTGTTATCAGCCTGATCCTGTGGAGGTGGATCAAGGCTTAGGATGGCGGCCGATGGGAGCAGACATACCAAGTTGAACTCAGCAGCGTCGAAAAGGGCGAACCCGCCCCCGAGGATTGTCACCATGCAGCGGACAGGCATATCCGGGGCTTTTGCGAGCCAGTCCACTGCACTGTGCTTCAGCTTGAAGCGTGCACTCAGGCAAGAGCGCCCGGCAGGAGGCAAGGCAGCTGGTCAGGCTGCTGTTGAGAAGGTCAGAGAGAAGGCCCTACACCGGGCAAGGCTATGCCGATGTCAATCGCCTGCTTGGGGAACTTCATGCTCCTCGCCACTGTCTTTGTCGCCCAGCCACAAAAGAACACCCGTGAGGACCTGCGCCTCAGGAAGCTTCACTGATCACTCCTCCTCCTCCTCCTCCTCCTCCTCCTCGCTCTTGGTGTCCACGTTCACCTCCATCACCAGGCCGTAGAGCTCGCCCTTCTGGCCGTAGGCCTTACTCTTCTCGGCCTTGCCCACGGTCGTATCTCCAGGCAGGAGATCTCGGTCATCATGTCCGCGCCCGTCTCCATTTCTCTCCTTCGACCATCGCCTAGCCACAGATCTCGACCCTCTGGTCCGTCATGACCATCACCTGATTGAAGAGCTCGGTCATCTCCACCACGGGCACTCTCCAGATCCGTCACATCACTCCAGAGCACTTCGCTTAGAACCCCCGGCTATCTCATCATTCCCGCATCCACGGCAGCGGGTGGCGACCTCAACACCTGGGGCTTACCCTTGTCAACGGGTGCGCGTCTTTTTCCTGTGCGTAACGCTCAAAAGGGCCTAGCTGCGCTCCGGGGGCTCCAGGACATGAATGCTGACAGGCCTGTAAAACCACCGCAGCAGGGGGCGCCCCAAAATGGGTGGTTTCTTGTTGGTTTCCCAACACCAAAACATTCAGACTCCAAAAAACACAGACGTTAACATGGTTGGTTTTCCTTTTCAGGAAAGCTGGCTGTGCTAGCGGGGTTCTCTAAACTTTAGCTTCTTTGAGGGGCTGAGCTTCCCACAATGCCTCATTTAATCAGGGTTTGGGAGGGCGGGCGGGCTCAAAATGCCTGAGTCGCGGGAACAAATCTTTACTTGGTGGACCCTGGCCCATTCGATAATCTCGTCCACATGCTTGCAGCTAGAGACTCTTTCTCATTAGGACCTGGTATGACCTGGTCCAATTTTGTGTCTTACTGGCTTTCTGGGTGCATTTATCCCTAAGGTTGCACTTCTAAATATTTAGGTAAACCCCTGGTTGTCGTACATGTCGTTGGGCTAGCTTTCGTTCACCCGCCTCTGAAGTGGTTTTCCCACAAACGCCACCCCCAAGCGGGGGTCCCCCGAAACAAGAACCCAACCCCACCTGATAACCCCTTAAAAATGGGTCCATGACCCCATTATTTTGGGTAATGCCCCCACCTTTAAAGGGCCATGGAGACTCCAGGTAGAGCAATCCCAAAAAGGAGCCCTTCAAATCGCTTCCGAGAGGAAGCTGCGAGTGTTGGGCAACATCACCTGCCCCGAGCTCAGCGCCGAAGCTGCGGCGCCTCGGCGAGAAAAACGGAAGAGTTGGGAGGTCCAGATGAGGACCTGGCGTCTCCATTGACCCATCAAACGTGGGGGTCAATACCCAAAATGATGGGGTCATGGTCCTGTCTTTAAAGGGTGATGGAGACTGCAGGTCGCCATTCGGGTGTTTCGTAGCGGGAACATATGTTACTCAACTTCGGCGAAACAGAATGACATGGTGCGAAAAATCATTGCATGATCTTTTTCGGGAGGGTTCTTGGGGAATTCAACAAGGACACTTGGCACCTTTCCCCATTTTGGAGAAGCCATTTGTTCAACTTTGTTGGAGGGGGGTTTCCTTTCTAAAGACCGACTGTGAACACTTCTACCAACTCTCATTGGCTTGTCGCAGCAGCACTGCCAAGCACTTCTTTGCAAAAATCCTTTCAGGAAAATGACCAACCAAAGGAACTTCAGTGGTCTACGAACAATGGAATAAACAAACATACGATCCACCTTTTAGACTACTGGGTAGCGCCGGTTTTGCTTTTTAAGGTCAGCTTTTCCATGGTTTCCCTGAAACAATCCTGAAAAGGGTTGTCCTGGCTCCTGCTAGTACAAGCCCAAAGGCTGATGAGGCCTCCCGAAGACTGCACCAACCCGTGGCCCGGTCTCTTTGAACAGGCCGGCGAAAGAAGAGTTCCTTGTCTTGTACAATAGGGGCAAATTCAGTACTGTTTTTTCCCCCGGTCCTATGGGTCTATCCCTCAACCCCGTTGCTCTTTACACTGCTGTACGTTTTGCTTCATGGGGTGGGTCGCTTGAACAACGTGGCAACCACCCCCCTTCATGACTCTCGAGTCACTCATACGCAAGTGGGTACCTTCCCATTTGGTTCTAAAGGTTCAACCTTTACCGGACCTGACACCGCCCAGGTTCCCACTACCTTCCCTGGCAAACGACCTCTCATGAAAAAGTGTTTCTCTGCCACATTGCCAGGTGTTTCGAGTCCCACTCAAGGTTGTAGCCATCATTAGCTTGACAACTCAAGTTGGGTGACATGGGTCGTAATTAGCCGCTTCTGTGGCTGGACATGGTTGAGGTGGGTGGCTGGGGGTTTGCTTTTGAGTTGCTACCCATGTTTTTGGTAGCCGCAGGCGACCAAAGGAAACCATTTTTCCCCCGATTTCTGACATCCATCCAACAGATGTCGGTTTTCCTTGCAAACCGACCGTTTGAACGAGTGTTGACTGGTGAAAGCTTTCCCACCAGCTTGGACACCAGCCGCAGGAGTCCCATCGCAACTTTGTCCGGGAATCCCTGGCGGGAAAGGAGCCTCGGATGCCATCGGCCCCTTCAGCAGGTTTGCTTCAGGGGAAAAGCCGGACGGAACACGGCAAACTCACAGACGCGCCATGTCGACGGACCCTTCACTTGACCCTTCACTTGGGCTAGGGATGATCATCAACCCGTGGGTTTTAGACAACCGTGGTAAGGAACCCCCCAATTCGGGCGCCGCGACCGGTTTTGAGCTTGGTGCCACGCAGCTGGTTTTGATGTTTCACCTGGTTTAACCAAAAGCTTTTGGACCCTAAAGTGAGCTTCAATTGGGGGTGATGTAGAGGCGCAAAGGGGACATGAAGATGAGGAACCCCACGAAAGGAGTTCTGGCTAAAACTGCCTGCAGCCTCGGTATTGCCACCTCACCCAGGAAGGTTCCCTTCAACGGGGAGGGGAGTTGCAAAGAGGTAGTGGTGATCCGGGGGTTGCTCAAAACTTCGGGATTCGGGACTCGAATCCCATTTTCGGGATTAGATCACATTTTCGGGATTAGGGGTGGTTCAGGGTTGGTTTGGAGATGGTTTAGGGCTGGTTTAGGGCTGGTTTAGGTAGTTTAGGGTTGATTCGGGGGAAGCCTCTGGTCCGGCTTCGGGATTCGGGATTCGTGATTTGCGCGCGAATCACATTCTCCGCCAGCTTCTCCGGATCACGTCTCCAAAGGAAACTGGTTGACCTCGAAAACCGCGCCAAAACGGAGACCGGCATACAAAATCAAGAAGAACTTAGGATCAAACCAAAGCATCATTCGGGATCAAAAAGAAGACAGTTAGTAAGTTAGTATCCGGAGCACCCTGGAGCAAAGGGCGGTTAGTAAGTGAGTATGGTGCAGAGGATTCGAGTGAGGTAATAAGTTAGCAATTAATACGTTAGCAAGTTGGCAAGTGCCCCAGTTTGTAAGTTAACAAGATAAAGTGGAACAGGGGGTAGTTAGTATTGGTGTCGAGGAAGGGGCAGTTCACGCAGTAGCAGTGCAATTACTACCAAACAGCAAGAAGCAGAACAAAAGGACAAAAAAAAGAAGAAGAAGAAGAAGAAGAAGAAGAAGAAGAACAACAACAACAACAACCAACAACAACAAACAACAACCAACAACAACAAACAACAACAAACAACAACAAACAACAACAAACAACAAACAACAAACCACAAACAACAAACAACAAACAACAAACAACAAACAACAAACCACAAACAACAAACAACAAACAACAAACCACAAACCACACACCACAAACCACAAACACAAACAACACACAACCAACAACCAACAACCAACAACCAACAACCAACAACCAACAACCAACAACCAA